TGGACTACATTTGTCTTCATTCTTATGGCTTTGAACGCCAGTGAATATTTCATCTTTCTTCAAATTAAAAAATTAAAATTTCCTCTGCAAAATTAAATGGAGGATGTGTGCCTTTATTAGCAATCCAAGTTGAGTAAAGATATCATAATTCTCTTAACCCCTTAAAGTTCTACCTGCAGCAAACCTTTTAAGCAATGTATTTTAAAACAATGACATTTTTGTTGCATCTTAAGTAATTTGAGTCTTAAAATTTTGATGGAAATCTTCCTCTTACTCTCTAAGCCATGTCGTTACAGCTGTATGGTATCATATTTATTAAGACTCTTGCCAAATATTTAAAAGTCATACTGGATTGGCCACACAAATGGGGTCTCCTTGGTTTTCTCCATCACAATGTTTTACCGACTTGCTGCAAGATCTGGTCCAGCCTTCTCTGCCTTGAATGGGCAAGTTACAGTATCCTGCTGCTGAGATGAACTCTGAAACCAGTGGGACCTTCTGGTAATCTGGCTGCATTTCATTTGAGTTACCAAGCACAAAGATGACTATTCTGGCCTCCAGCTGGGGATAGGAAATCAGTTGCAAATATAAAGGTACAGGTGCATGAATACCTGTGCGTGTGAGACAAAGATCCATATTTCCCTATTTGGAAACATTTGTAGCATCTTGCAGACTTGAGAACAGAGCAGCAAGGGAAGGGAAAGGAAAGGTTGTGAGGTATGTCTACCTCAAAAAGTAGAGCTGTGAAAAGAGAGGGGGAAGGACACAAGAAGGTTTCAACTTAATTTTCACTGTGGAATACCCAGCTGGGAGTCAAGGCACCTGAAGATTACTTCAATATTAAACCACAGCTCTAAACTGCTTTACTAGTGCTGCTTTATATGGATTAATAGGAGTCCTAAGAAAGAAGCTGAAGGGGGTCTCTGCTTGATGTACCCTCTGCACCTTCCCTAGTGTCTTTCATGATCCAGCTTGCTTTTTTTTTTCCCCTCTGGGAAAAGCAGACCCTTTTACAGCCTTGGTTTCCTGATTGCCAGTTTGGAAAAAGCTTTATTTTGCTCAGCCTGTTTTGCTTTCCAGATGTCTTACTGTGGCACTTAGTTTTCTCAAACATTGAATTGACTGCTAAATGCTTGATGTGTATGTAATGTCTCCTGAACTGTTTGGGTTTTCTGCAGTCTGAGTGTTTTTTCAAGAATAAGTGTATTAATAAAATAAGAGGCCAGGTGGCTAATTTCAGAAGGGGAAATAATACTGCCATAAGTGCTGACTGACTTTCCTGTGAAAGGATGGGAAGGGCTGCAGTGCCTCCCTATCTGACTTGGGTCATGACTAAGGTGGATACTAAGCAAAGGACTTTTTATTGATTAAATCATCTTCAGTTTTAAGGCTGTAAGGCCCTTGCCTAACCTTAATACAAGGAGCTCATGAAAGAAACTTGAAGAAACCTGTAGAGCTGGATAGGAGCTTTGTGGCTGAAGCAGGAAAGTGTGAGAACAGCTCTTGATCTTTTCAGTGATACCATGAGGTGTCACTAATGCTGTACAAGGGATGCAAAAGACCCTGCTTCTCACCCTCTGAGCAACAGGCCAGCAGGGCACAAACACCTGAGCTTCAGCCACATCCTGCTCCTGCCTCCCTCCGGGCTGAAAAAGTGAAGCATGGCAAGAGAGAACGTGTTCTCCTTGAGATGTTTCTATGCATTTCATTAATGCCTCCTTGCTCCTCTGTAGTTACCCCTTCCAAGGTTACAAAGATCTAAGGCATCCTTCATAGACTCAGGTTAAAACAGATTCCTCAAATATCACTTCTGAGCCTAACTGTCCATCTAGGTGGGTTGGCTGATGTGCTATCCAAATCTTCTTAGCTGAAAATAAACAATTACTTAGCAAGATAAAAATGGATGACTTGCCACTTAGGTATCTTTACATTCTTCCTTGCCCTATGTTCTCCTCTCCAGAACACACAAACCAGTTCCTTTAATCTTGTATTTCAGATGCTATAATCTCTAAATCTGTAATCATCTGTTGCCTCAGAAAGGTCTGTTCCTTTCTTAGGGTGTTGTCCATAGCATGCTATAGCTACAGCCTTATGCAAAAACATGAAGAAAGGCACTCCAGACTGAGGAGGAATTATGACTCCCTCTTTGAGTTTGATGGATGGCAGTGGAAGAGAGTGCTAACTTCTGTGGAACATAGCTTGCAAATGTTTTTTCCTACCAAATGCTACAGCAATCTTTTCTAATTATCCTTTTCAGCCTTGAATGTTTCAGCATTTTTTTTTTATCACTACAGTGTCAAGTTCCTAGGTCTTTGCAGCTGATTCCATTGAAAAACCTGGTGGATATCTTGATTTCTGACTTTTCTGTCTTACTTTTTAAAGATGCCTCAAAAGGACCTAACCCGCCGCGTAGATAGCTACACCCTGTGTTAAGTTTTGTAGTATATTAGTTAATAAAATGAACATTATCTGTTTATTGCCATTTGAAGTATGCAGATATGAAGACTGTTTCAGGGAATTACAATATATAGGCAGAGAGATAGGGATCAGCACAGAGCACTGTAATAGTCCAACTACATTGTCTACTATGGAAAATGCATGGAAATCACTCCATGCTCTGGAAAGTTTCTGATCCCTGGAGGCAGCCAAAGAAGCTGCTTAATTCTCTTTCTCCTGCTGATCTTGAAATCAATGAACAGGGA